CCCGCCTGGGCCGCCCCGCCCAGCCCAAAAGGCCCAAAAATCCAGCCAAAGAGGCTGCCAGTCCCCCCTCTGCACCCCCACACTGCAAGAGCTTGGTGAAGCCACCACAGGAGGCTGTGGAAGAGAAACCTGGCCTGGGGGCTGGGGGACCTGAGCATCCCCAGCCCCACCAGCACATCCTGAGGAGCCTGGTCCGGCTGTCGCTGGTGGCACTGGCAGAGCAGAGCCCCACTGGGGAGTTCGTCATGGAGTCACCTCCCGTGCAGGTAGGAGCTGCCCCGTGTGCTGCTGCTGGAGGTCTGGACACTCCCCTGTCCCCCCCACCCAGTCCTTCTTCACCCAGGTCTTGCCCACCTTGGGGTGGTGGGAACACTCAGCCTGATGGTCTTGGGTTGGTCTCTTCTGCCAGCCCTGGGCAGAGGTGCCCCAGGGGTTGGGGCTGTGGAGGATGGAGCCCACCAGGAGCAGGGTCTCCCTGTGCCCACCAGGAGCAGGGTCTCCCTATACCCACCAGGATGCCCTGGGAACTGGGTAGAGAAAGGGTGTGTGCCAGGGGGAAGGGGACAAATCCAGTGGTCACTGCCCAGGGGAAGGTGTGGGGATGGGGGAAGGGAGGGGGCAAGGTGAGCTGCAGGGGCCCTTGTTTTCCTACCCCATGGGGATGCTGAACCATCTGCAGCAGGAGGAAGTGCTATAAAAAGGCTGGGGAAGGGGATGATGGGTGGTTGGAGGGGACATCCTGGCAGGAAGCAGCTTGAGTGGCCACCACCAGGGCTCAACAGGCTTTTCCTGCCTTGCAGCAAATCTCCCAGCTGCTCTCCTTGCTGCACCAGGGCCAGTTCCAGCCCAAAACCAACCACAGGGGAAACAAGTACACGGCCAAGAACGGCAGCAGGTAGGTCAGCAGCTCCAGCCCTGGAGCTCCAACTCTGCTTCAGCCTCACTGGCCCCCAAAAGCCTCCAAGGGCAGGAGACACCGGGGCAGCAGACACACAAGGTAAAACCTTGTCATCTGTTTTGTGGACCTGACTTGGGGGAGGAAGGTCCTCCCTTCAGGAGTGGCTGGGCTCCTCTGGTCATGCCTCCCCACTGGTACCCAGCTGCTTTCTCCAGGACAAGAGGAAATGCTCTCAAGTTGCTCCAGGGGAGGTTTGGATCAGATATTAGGAGAAATTTCCTCACTGAAAGGGTCATCAAACACTGTCCGGGCTGCCCAGGGGTGTGGTGGTTGAATCACCATCCCTGGGGGTGTTTAAAAGCTGTGTAGATGACGTGCTGGGGGACATGGTTTAGCTCTGGACTTAGCTGAGTTGGATTAGTGTTAGGTTATGGTTGGACTCAGTGATCTTAAAGGTCCATTCTGTGACTCTGTGGTAGGGCTGCTCTTTGCCTCCTTCCCAGGGCACATTTGGTAGCTCCTTGCATACCTACCTGAGCTCCCTCACAGCCATGAACCATCTGCCCATCCTTGCTAGAGGAACACCAGTGTGTCCATGTGTGATGAAAAGGTGTCCTCATGAGCACAGAGGGTCCAGCTCTGGAGGCACCAGCACAAGGATGAGTTTTTTCACAGCTCTGGGTACTTCCTTAGAGATGCTGTTGCCTGTTGATATGAGTTCGGGGCATCTGTCCCCAGGCCAGGAGATAAACTAAGGGTGGGAAGGGCTGAGATATCCCCACTGTGTTCTGAAGATGTTCCCAGTGACAAACTTTATGGCTTTCCCATTAAATTGGGCTGTTCACATCTCTGGGTGAACCCCCCGGAGGGTGCCAGCGCTTCACCACTGCCCAGGCCATGGGCAGACACAGCCATCACTGCCTTTCTCATCATCATCTCCATCTGCTGAGGTTGGAGAGGGAGGAAGAGCTGCTCTGGGGCAGGGTTGGGCTCTGATGCTTCTCTCCTGGCCCTGCTCATGGGCAGCTCCAGAATCCAGAGGGAAGAGCCAGCAGCTCCTTGACTGCTCCCTGCAGGAGGATAAAACCTCTCTCGGGCAAGAAACGTGGAGCAGCCCCACATGCAGCCCAGTTCCCAGAGGGTCTGTGGAACCTCCTGATCATGTGTTGTGGTTTTTCAAATGAAAACCCATAAAGCTCCTTAACTGGTGGGGCCTCCAAGGGCTGTGCCTGCGGGGCTGTGCGCAGGAAGGACGCCTGAGCCCTGGCGCTGGGTCATTCTGGGGGTGGGGGATGAGGACAAGCACCTTCAACCTGATGTTTGGGGCAGGGTGGTGCTGGTGCTGAGGTGTGACCTGAGTTTTGTCCCCGGGGCAGGGCTGGGGGGCTGGACATGGATGGTCTGAGCACCAAGGACAGTGGGCACGGGGAGAGCGAGGCCGAGGACCGCGACTCCGACTGCGGCTTTGAGCTCTCTGTCCAGCAGCTGGTGGGAGAGGAGCTGGAGACCCTCCTGGAGCCACAGGCAGGTGAGGTGGCCTCACTGCTGGGAGCACCCTGGGGCTGCTGCGGGGTGGTTCAGTGGTGAGGTCTCTTTAAATAACACACTGAGGCCATTCAGAAGAGAAAACTGGCTGGGCTGCAGCAAGCAGGGGACACGTCTCCTAGGGTGGCTCTGATGCTTGGGGCAGCATCTATGGAGCATCCTGTGCTGTTGGGACCAGGCAGTTTACAGCAAAGGGACTTGCTGAGCTTCATGTTGGATTTTGGTCATGTGTTTAATCTTGGTAGGTCTCTCCTCCCATGGATGTATGTGCTGTTGTTGAGGTCACCTGAGAGGTCGAACCTCTGTTGCTGTGTGTGGGTGAAGTCCATTTTAACAATGCCCTGTGTGACCTGCTTCCCATGCTGACCTGAGACCCTTCATTTCATGGTCTATGTAGAGTGAGAAAGGTGAAGAGGTGCCCTTGTTGAGCCCCTCATGATGGAGTAGATCCTTTGAGCCCCGTTATGCTCCTTTTTTCCTACCAGGCTGAACTAGTCCCATCTCCTGTGATTACTGGTGCATCTTTACTGAGGTGTGGTGACCAGAATAGGATACATCTACACTGTATAAAGAGGTCTTCTGGTGGCATGAGGTCTTCTGGCTTGTTCTTCAAGGGCAAGGGGCAACAGGCACAAACTGGAGCACAGGAGGGTCAAGTTAAACATAAGGGAAAACCTCTTTCCTGTGAGGGTGACAGAGCCCTGGGACAGGCTGCCCAGAGAGGCTGTGGAGTCTCCTCTGGAGACATTCCCAACCTGTCTGGATGTTCCTGTGGGATCCTGCTCTGGCAGGGGGGGTGGACTCGATCTTCAGAGGTCCCTTCCAACCCTAACAACTCTATGACTAAATGACCTTCCTTTGTGAGGAAGATTCTTTATTCCTACCCTCCCTTTCTGGCCTTTAACACTTGTTAAAAGAACCTGATAGAACCTGGTTGTGAATTCAGGGCCAGCTCAGGAGCCCTGTGAGCCTGGTTGCTGCTCTTCTGCAAGCTGAGGTGTCCCCTGCCAAGCAGGGCTCTTCATCTACCTCTTCCAAAGACACCAACACATTTGCAAACTGCAGTTCCCTGCTTAACTAACACCACCTCAGCCCCTGCCCAAGTAGCAGCTGCTCAGTTATCTGCTGAGTCTCCCAGATAGTGATTTTTATGGATTTGCCCACCCCAGATCCACAGATTTAGAACCTCATGCCACAACTTCTACCTCCCCTTCCTCTGCTCCCATACTCATTTGAAGCAGTAGTTAACAAACAGCAGTTAATAAACCAAGCAATTTAATATCTGAGTTCCTACAGCACTCCAGGGTGAACACCATCTGGGCCTGACATTTTCTGCATGTTCCTTTTATTGATTTGTTCTGAAAAAAAACCCAAACCCTTCTCCTGGCATTTCAATTTGCAAGAGTTGGGCTGACTCATGTCCTGTAGCAGAAATGTCTTTGTGGAGCCTCTGAGCTCCTCCACAGGATGAAGAGCTCCTGGAGGTTTGCTGTTTCATGCCAGAGTTGGGCATTTTTCTGTGCTCTTTCTTTAGAGGGAGAACCAGGCTGCTTTTCTCCATTTGCTTCTTGCTCTTTTTTATTCTAGGAAGGAGCAAAGGAAGGAAAGGCTGGGTGAAATGAGAGCTCCAAAGCTGTTTTGGGTTTCCAGGCCCTGTAGCCAAGAGCAGGGAGTGAAGAGGCTGCTCCATCCCATGGGTGACCTGCCACACACTGTCCCAGCAAAGGGACTGGTGGGCTTGTGGTTTCATGCTGGGCTGGCAATTAAACTAATGGCAGATGCTCTCTATTAAACCCTAATTATAAGGGAGAGAGGCTTAGGGGTTGGAAACTGCAGTGCCCTGCTTTGAGAGAACAGGGGTGAGGAGAAAGAATGAAAAAATGTGCAAATTTGTAGAAGAGACTTAATTGAAAAGTAGAAGTACTAGGAAGAAAGTTCTTTCGCTCCTGGCTCCAACCAGGACAACCTGCTCAGCAGATCTGTTTGCACTGAGGCCTGTTCAGACAGTGGCATCTTAGAAAACCAGTGTTAGAGGCAGGCATGTCCATCAGGTGCCATCTCCCTTGCTCCTTGGATCTGCTAGGAAAAAGCCCTTGTTTGCCAAATTGCTGGAATGGCAGGGAGCAGGGGCAGTGCAGGCTGGAGGGGCTCCCTGCCCCCAGCAGTACTGGACATGGCAGCAGAGCTTGCCCTGCCCCAGTGCTCACCAGCCCCCTAAGCCAGGAGCCCAGACCTTCCTGAAAAGGCCCAGAGCTGCTGGGCTCCTTCCTCCTCTCCCCAACACAAACAGAGAAGTGGACTTTACATCCTGAGAGGGAGGAAGGAAGCCTTGCCTGTGCCCCCGAGTGTGGGACCAGCTCGCTGAGCCTGTCTGGGCCTTTGTGCTCTTCACAGTGGGGAGAACTGAGCAAATAATCAGTCCCAGCAGCTCAGGGGTGTTTATGCTGGGAGCCCCAGGGGAACTCTCAGCACTGTGACCACCTACTGCCCTGCCAGAGAAACCAGGCTCACAGCAGCAGTTGAGAGACAGAACTTTTATTGATTATAAAAACACCCCTCCCCCCTTGCTGAAACACCATTAAAAGAAGGCAGTGAAGAGTCATTAAAGGAAAGATTATAAGGTTTCATGGGCACAGGAGCCTCAGCCCGAGCAGTTTGCTGCTGTGCCCTGCTCCAGAGTTGCAGCATGGAAACATTCAGGGAATGCAATGGCTTCTTGGAGGCTGGGGAGGAGAAAACTGTGGATGTTTCAGAGCAAAAATAGGGGATTTCAGCTTGGGAGATCCCTTCGGGACCAGTCACTGTGACTGAAAGAAAATACTGAGACTGTAGAAAGAAATCCTGGAAGTTTAGCAACACAAAAGAGTTTTGAGGCTTCAGCTGAAACAAAAATCAAAGTGATGTGTCTGTCCTTCTCTCCCTGCCAGGTCTGAATCCCAGTCCCTCACCCCCTTCCCACCCCAGGACACAGTTGTTTTTTTGAGAGAAAAAGGCCTCATTCTGTAGTTGGCTGAGGAAGGAGAATTGTCTCAGGGACAGACCCAGATTGAGGACCACATGTCCATCATCTTCTGGAAGCAGCAGAAGTGCAGGAGTCTGCAGACCCTCCTTTGGGAGGTCACTCTAAGTCAGAGCCACAGAATTATAACAAGGACACCAGCTCTTGCCCTCAGACTGGGACTGCTGTGGGGTGTTTTGCTCCCAGATCCAAGCGATTTGGTTTGTTGCTGTCTGACTCTCTAAGTGTTTCCCAAACCTGGTGGTTGCTCCGGAGCTCCCTGTGGTTCTTGGTTACCCTGTGGGAATGGAGCAACGTGGGGTTGTGCATCACCTGCCCCAGCCTTGTTTACCAACTGCAAAGCTCAGCCTTCAAAACAAGGACCCCATTTCCTTTCCCGCTGTCTGATGAGGAAGCTATTCCAGGCTCACCCTGCTATGGGGTCCTTCCTTTTCTTTCCAGCTTATGTTTACTCGTGGACAGTTATAATCACTTCTTCTTTTGCCAACACTATTTTAAGCATAAAGATTTCCTTTGTTGGTGCTTATCTCATCAGCATGTTGCAGTCTGATCTCCAGGGAGCACTAGCTTCCTTAGGCTGAGCAATCCCTACCTCTTTGGGTCATGGAAGCCTGGATTCACCCCTGGTTTCATCTCAATAGTTTTCTCTGCACTGCTGCCATTTTAGCTCCTCTCCCCCACAGATGGATAATCAACTTTGTATGTAATATTCCTAATCAGGTCTCACCAGACCTAGTAACAACACCACAGATGTGTCTTCAGGCCAAAAGGGAATACCTTGACCAGCACACTGTGTGATTTCCTTTGCTCATTTTTGGGGTAGAATCACATTAGTAGCACATTAAAGAGCCTGCAGCCAACACCCCCACACCAGGCTCCCGCTGCTCCTCATCTGCTTCCAATTGATGAACAACTACTTTATAGCTCCCTGTTTTTGCTACTAGTCTTCAACCACCCAGCTGTGCATTTTACAAGCCAGAATTTCATTCTACTTCTGTTATTTTCACAATAACCCATTTCTTTCCAGTCCCAGAAGGCCTGCTTAGCAGCAACTTCCCACCCTAGATTGCCCCTGAAGGGAAGTCCACCACTGACCTTTCTTCTGTCCAATACTTCCTCCTTGAAAGCCTTTCCATTGTCCTCTCCCCTTCAGCCAGTCCTGAGCCTTCACTTTCTCTGACTTTGCTAACACTTTTAACAAAGCACTACCTGAGGCTGCAGCAGATGAGAAAGCAAAGTGAGCTGAATTGTTATTATAGAAAAACAAAACAAAAATCCCAGTTGTTTTAAAGCAGTTCTACCTTGTTTGGTTGGGTTTGTTGCTTGATTTAAGCTGTTGGTTTGAATGCTGGTAGCTTATCTCTAGACCTGTTTACAATCAGTGCTCTCAGAGCTGAGTTCAGGAAGTCTCTGGGTTTTTTTTTTTCCTTCTCTCTCCCGTGGTCTCCTCTAGCCCACCTCTCATTGACAGTTCTTTTCACTCCCTCCAGAGCTAGCCCTCAAGAGGCTGACTGCTGCTGACCCAGCCTGGGTGGCTCGACTCTCCTTGCCCCTCACCAGCAGCTACAAGGACAACATCTTCTCCCCCGACTCTCTTCATTTACCTCAAGATGAGGAAGCTGCCAGGCAGGAGAAACCAAGGACCTTTGAGACCTTTGGCAAAGGTGCTGGGGCTGACTCCAATACTGCTGGGACAAGACTGGCCAGCACTTTCCTTTCAGAGATGAGCACCCTCTTTGAAATGATTTTGTCCCAGAAGGTCCAAGTTCACAACGAAACGGGCTCGGGGCTTCTCCGGCAGCTGTCGGCACGTGGGAAGAGCCTTGGGCTGGAGGACTGTGCTCCTGCTCTGTAGGCAGCTTGGTGGCTGTGAGGAGGAGATCAGAGTCAGATCAAGCTTTCGGTGTTAGGGGGGCACACGTGGGCTTTAACAGGGTCACTGTACCCTCTGTGTCTGGACTGATCATGACAGGCACATTTCTCCCTTACATTCCATGACTCATTTCACCTTCCCTCCTACCTGCCTCTTCTTGCCTTCCTGACTCTCCTCCTCTTTCACCCTCATCTTTCACCTCACCATCATGCTCACCCAACAGGAGGAGGGTCCTTTCCTCCCAGGGCAGGCTGATCAAGGGGCGTGTTGCTAGATCAACCACAACACCATCAGCTACATCCCCATGCTCACAGACTACACCAGGGATGATGAAATATCACTCATGGACTTCACAAGGTGCTGTGGAGTTGGGTTCCAGGATCTCAGTTCTTATTTAAATAAACCAGTTTTTTTCTAACAGCATCATCTCTGGAACAAGGTGCTCTGCAGATGACATCATGATGTATCTGCAGAAAGCCTGAAATGGCAACTCTGAAAAGGAGCTTTTGCCTGTTGTCTCCTTTCAGCTTTTGTGGTTCTATCACCGTGAACTTGACATCCTGTAAAACGCCCCAAAAATCAGCACTGCTGCTCTGGCAACTCTGCTATGGCTGCCTTAGGTGCCCATAATTTCCTTCTCCATGCTTTCTTTAAAGGCCATTGGATTCTGGCGTGCAGTCCTTCCCCAGAAGCAGACAGCAGATGGTTGGAGTCTGCCAAAGGTAACCTGGGAAAAGGGAAGCGTGAAAACACTGTTTTGAAATATTCAGCTTCAACCATATTCTGGGCTTTCACTTTGATCTGGATGTATGTGAGCTGTAAGATAATTTTATGATAATAATAGCTGTAGGAAAACCAAGCTACAGCTCTCAGGGAGAAGGACACAGGTGGTGTTAACCATAGGGCTTTGCACTCCCAGAGACTGGAAGGACAGCAGGGCCACCAGCAGCTGGAGTGCACATGTAGGCTCTTCTGGATTGTGCCCATGTAGGGCCCTTCTGTACCACAGCCTGTGCCTTCCAGCTAGGCTATTAAACACCAGAACAAGTCTGGGAGAGGCTGGCAAAGTGGCTGTACAGCTGGGAGTGGGGGTGAGCCATCCCCTCTCTGCTGGCAGTGCCCCACTCACTGTAGTGCTGGGCACACACTGCTTGCTTTCCTTCACTATCTTTGCATTACAAACACTCCACTCCTTTCTCCACAGAATCCACAGCTCTCAACACAGGTTTCTCCAAGTCTAATCTCATGGTTTGGGTCATCATGCCTTTGGGTGGTAGTTTTAGTTTTCATTTTACTGTCAAGTTTATAGAATCCCAGAATGGTTTGGGTTGGAAGGGACCTTCAAGATCATCCAGATCCAACCCCCTGCATGGGCAGGGACACCTCCCACCAGCCCAGGTTGCTCCAAGCCCCATCCAACCTGCCCTTCAACACCCCCAGGGATGGGGCAGCCACAGCTTCCCTGGGCAACCTGGGCCAGGCTCTCACCACCCTCACAGCAAAGAATTTCCTCCTAATGTGTCACCTAAATTTCCCCTTTTCCACTTTTCAGCCATTCCCTCATGTCCTCTCCCTCCCTGCCCTTGTCAAAAGTCCCTCCCCAGCTTCCTTGTAGGTCACACTGAAGAAGAACAGGCAGCACAAGCCAGCAGACATGATCCTGGAGCATCTCAAGAGTTTCCTATTTGTGCTCCTTTCCCATGCAGCTAGAGGGGACAGGGGCCTGCACTATGCACACACACACATCCACTTGCCACAGACAATCACACAGATCATTTAAAGCAGGGTAAATGAAAGAGTTCTCCCTTTCTGTTCCTTTTGGGACCAAATGGCAAAAGCAACTGAGGAAGACTTCCCCAGGTAGACTTTGTAATATCCAAACTATCCACTGCTGGAGTCACCCAGTCCTTTACTGATGTCCCCATTTCTGGCAGTGAACTAGATAGAGGGGTCTGCCCCAGCCTTCTGATAGAGACCTCTTGCTGCTTTGTTTCAGAAACAAAACAGGCTCCTGCACCAAAACAATGACATCCAGCCTGAGATGCAGCTGTGCAAACCACCAGGGTGGCTGGGAGGAGAGGCATCCCTACAGGATTCCTCTGCATCCTGGGAATGCACACAGAGGACACACAGACACAGCACAACCTCGTCCTCTGGAAGTCACTTTTGATGTGCCTGTGAAAGGACAAACTTTGCACAAAAATACACCATAAGGAGCAGATTGAAAAGGAGACAAATTTCTCTCTCTTGGTTCAATTTCCTGATCCTGCAAACTGCTTTCAACCCCCACTCCCCATCCCTCAATCCTTGCCCCCCTCCTGTCCTGAGGAATGCGTAAGCATGATGTGGATTATCACAGAATAGGAAATCCACCCGAGGAATTTCCTGCTAATTGTATCCTGCTTGATAAAGGAAATGGTCTAAGAAAGCTTGGTCTGAGGAGAGAGAGAACCGACTAGGAGAACAATCAATCAGATGTGTTAAGCTCTGGCTGTGCCCCTCCCTTGCTGAATGGAGCCCACAGCAAGTTCAGGATGGGGCCATTGCCTTTGTTTTCCAGAGCCTGACACAAAGCACCAGAGCACCGTGGCTACAGGAAGCTGGATAGTTTGTCCAGATGCCCTTGAACCAGTTTAAACTGGTGGACAAATGTCTATTTCCGGATTCAGCTGCCCCAGTGGAAGAAATGATCATCCCAGCTGCCTGCTGCTGCCTGCTGGGAGCATCCCTCACCCACTGCAGGGGAGAGAGCTGCTGTGCTTGACAAACATGTCAAGTATAAATTTTAAAGCAAACCTTGCTCATTGTAACCCAAAGGGGTGCACCCATGGGAGCAGCTCCCTGCCAGAGCTGAAGGAAAAACAACCTGGGCAAGGGCACTGATGGTGGTGCAGAATGGCAGAGGACAGCTTCAGTCTCACCTGCACAGCTGGATCCATAAGCTACATCCCACAAAAAGCCTCATAATCAGAATTCACTCTCTGGCTTGCACAGGTTTGAAAGCAGATTCAGCTGCCTCCATAGCAATGCAGAGACCCAGCCCAGCTTGTGCTGGTAGAAGAACCACTGTGGGAACAGCCAGCCTTGAGGGGAGGTCCAATTGCCTCTGAGGGTGCAGGCCAGGCCCAGCACAGGGTCTGCTGGCAACATCATCATGTGGTGGCTTGTAAACCTTGACCACATGCAAGATGTGCAGGGCTACTGGAATTACCGCCCCCAATCATATCACTATGGGAGTTCATAGGAAACTGTAGCAGCATAAGAAAGGTCTTTGTCTGGGAAGGTAGAGGGCCAGAAGACATGGTGCTGGAGGAGATGTCACAAGGTTTGTCCTAAGAACCTTGGTATTTAAAAATGGCTCCTGCTCCACGAACAGAAAGCTGTGAACTCCCTGCCAGCCTGCTTGCAGCTCCACATAGACTGAGGAGGGCTGCTGTCCCTCCTCCTGCTGGTGTCACTCACCTGCTGGTGTCACTCCCCTGCTGGTCTAGTACCAGCAGAGGTGGGGCTCCAAGCACTGCAGTTCCCGTGGGGTTGCCCTGTTCCCGAGGGCATGGCTCCATCCTGCACTGCTGAGCACCATCATGTGGAGTCCATCTGCACTCCAGGAGTGGGGCAGGGAGAGGGGGGATTGTCTGGGCTGAGTGGCCTGGTGACCTGCAGGAACATGGTCCACAGCCCAGAAACAGGGGCTGGAGGAAGAGGCTCTTATTCCAGGAGAGAATAGAGGCTTTGTTTTCACATCTGAAAGTACATGAAACCAGGATATTAATGACACATCACACTATGGGAAACAGCTGGTAAGAAGTGGAAACAACTGAGGAAGAACTGCTCTGGAGACAGGCTGAGAGAGTTGGGGGTGTTCAGCCTGGAGAAGAGAAGACTCTGGGGAGACATTAGAGAGAACCTTCCAAAACCTAAAGAGAACCTACATGAAAGATCGGGAGGTACTTTTCACCAGAGAGCAGAGTGGTGGGACAAGGGGTAATGGTTTTAAACTGAAAGAGGGGAGATTTAGATCAGACATCAGGAAGAAATTCTTCACCATGAAGGTAGGAAGGCGCTGGAATAGGTTGCCCAGGGAGGTTGTTGATGCCCCCTCCCTGGAGGTGTTGAAGGGCTTGTGCAGCCTGGTCTGGTGGGAGGTGTCCCTGCTCAGAGCAGGGAGCTTGGAACCTGATGATCTTGAAGGTCCCTTCCTACCTTCACCATTCTATGATTCTATGAAGAAAAGTGCTCTTTCTTCTTGCCAAGGCTCTGCCCTACCTTTCCTCTGGCAATATGGGCTCTGCTTTTATGCAGTCACTCCCCTCCTACAGCCCCCCACCCTCATCCCCCTGCCCCTGGTACCTTCCAGCTCCGCTTCCAACAGGCGAAGTCTCTCCTGAGCGTTGGGGTTCCCTGCAGCAGCTGATTGCTGGTAGTGCCTCAGAGCTTCTGCCAGGTTCTGCTGCACTCCAAGGCCCTTCTCATAGCAAACACCCACGTGGTACCTGCTTTGGGCATCCTAGCCACAGGAGAAAGCACAGCAATCAGCTCCACACCAGGAAGAAGTGAGGACAGCACATGAAAGGAGAATGGAGAGTCTTTAACACCTTCTTTAGAGCTTACTGCTCTATCTTTGGTCACCTCCTTGAATGTTTACTCCTGTCCCTCAGACCCCATCTTCAGTAATATAGATCCTTTTCTGAGCACAGAAAGGCAGAATTTTTTTTAGAATCATAGAATGGTTTGGGTGGGAAGGGACCTTAAATATCATCTAGTTCCAACCCCCTGCATGGGCAGGGACACCTCCCACCAGCCCAGGCTGCTTCAAGCCCCATCCAACCTGCCCTTCAACACTGCCAGGGATGGGGCAGCCACAGCTTCCCTGGGCAACCTGGGCCAGGCTCTCACCATCCTCACAGCAAAGAATTTCTTCCTAATGTCTCACCTAAATCTCCCCTCTTCCCAGCTGTCTCTTGACTCAGCTCCTACATATC